ATATATATATATATATATATATATATTTAAAATATATATATTCTAATATATATACTTTAATACATATATTTTTATATATATATGTATTTTTTTAATAATATTTATTAATAACTTAAAAATTATTTATTTATGTATATATTTTTATTCATTTTTTTGTTTCAAATTTTACATTATTTTATATCTCCTTCGTTTATTTTTAAATTATTACTTTTAACTATATCTAAAAAACTATTTTTTATTTCTATAATATTTTTATTTTATATATTTTAAAAATAATAATTTTTAATATGTTAGTTTTTTTCATTATTTTTATTAATTTTTTTTTTAGTAAATCTTTACTATAAACAAAAAACATTAAATACTCTTTTAAATTTTAAACTTCATCAAATTAATTAAATATATATTTTACAATTTTCTTATAATAACTACACGAACTCAATACACAAAACCTTGATTCTTATAAATTTAGTCGTATAATAAATTCCTATAGGAGTAAAATCCCTTCTTTAAAGCTCTAAAAGCATCCTTAATTAACATTAAAATTAAAAACTTTTTTATTTTGATTTTTCAAACAAACTAAATTTACCTCGCTACACTAAATCTACAATACATTCTTCCAAATCTCCTTTTATTATATATTATTTTATTATTGATTTTCTTATTTTTCTCCATTATAATAATCTAAAAAAGCTTTTTATTATTATTCTTAATTTTAGATATTTTCCTCATCTAAATAAAACTCTAAAATAATAATTTTTTATACTCCCAAAAAATCTATTTAATTCTAAATTTGAAAATTTGAAATATTTTCAAGTTATTTTTCCTCAAAAATATATCCTTTTTTCATTAATTAAATGCCTACAAAAGCCTAATTTCTTGCATCGTCAATTCCCCAGTGTTTATTTCCTTAAAATTCCATCATTAAAAATTCTAGCATATCCTTTAAACTTTTTGGTATCTTGTTTTACTTTAAAACAGGAAAGCAATTTTTCATGTTTATATATTAATTTAATATATTAGGTATTTATATACCTTTTTTCTTACAGTCATTATATAAAAATCTAGAATCATTATCAGAATCAAATACTATTGAACATTTATTATTATTTTGAGTATATTTTGCCAAAAAAAATTCTACATCTTATATGATTTCGGCTAATATAGGTGCATTAATTACATCAATCTATTTTATTCCTGTCAATAGAGTTATATAAGGCTATATTTTGCTATTAGGCTTTACAAAACTATGAAAAGTGTCTATTATTTATAATTCTTTTACATTTACAACAATTATAGGAAATTCTATAATTTCTTCATTATTACATTCGAAATCTATAAAAAACAAAAAATCAAAAAAATGTTATTTATTTAGACATTTAGTCATCCTTTAATAATCTCTAATTCTTAAATCTTAACAAAAAGTACATTATTTATAATTTCGCCAATCATTAAAATTTTAACAACTTTAACAAAACCAAAATTTAATATTTTTTTAATGTTTATTTTCAACTTAAATAATTATTTTTTATTCTTCTTCTTTTTTAGTTATTTTTTATTATTCATTTTTATTAATATTTATTATTTATTATTTCATATTTTTTTATTTTTATAATGGATTTTTAATATTTTATATTATGCTTTTTTTAATTTATATAAAAATTTTATAAAGAACGAACTTTTTTTATTACATTTATTTATTTTCCAAAATTTTAGGTTTGTCATCATATGATTATGGAGAATTTTATGATAATTAAGATTAATTGTTTTCTAAAAATTAAATATAATAATAGTATTATTGTAATTATTAATACATTTTAATTATAAATATATATATATTTTTATTTAACTTTATATCAGTAAAATTAATATTTATTTTTAATTAAATTATTATAAAAAAAACTAAAAAAAATATTTAGATTAATATTTAAAATTAGAAAAATTAAATATAAGTAAAAAAAAAAACTATTAAATTTTAAATATATAATAATTTATATATATAATTTATACATATTTATATATATTTATATATTTTTATATATATTTATATTTATTTATAAAATTATTATAAATTTAAATTCACTATTATATTTTATTAATATTCATTTAAATAAAAATAATTATAAAAAAAATTTATTATATAATTTTTTATGGGTAATAATATTTTTTAATAACAATAATGTTCAAATAAATTCACATCTGATAACTCTAAATATTTAATTATTTAAATCTTAAATAAAATAGATTTTGATCTTTAATTAAAAAAAGTATACCATAATAAAAAAATATATCTAAGCATTAAACAAATAATGCAAATAAAAGATATAAAAACTAACTAAAATACGTAAATGTGTTCTAATTATTACTAAATAATGATTAAATTTGAAGAAGCATAATTTACTCTAAAGAACTTAATTGAATTTAAATAACAAACATAATCTTATTTTACCGAATCTGATATATATAAATTAATTGAAAGTGTTTTCGATGCTTTAGTTATAATTAATATCCCTTAAGGAACAATAAATATTGAAAATATATTTGTTTTTGAACAAAAAGCATTTAAAATAGCAGATATGAGTATATTTAATTATAAAAACGAAAAAGAAATAGAAATAGAAATACATCTAAAAAATAAAATATTTCACATTAAAACGATATTTTTGATTTAGGAATATGCATTTTACAAATGTTTAGTCTATAAAAAAATAACGACTAATTAAGAAAAAATATATAAAAAATACTTAATTAAATAAAAATAAAATACGATATAAAATGCTATTTATTAATAAAAAGCTTAATAACTATAAATTCAAATGAAAAATATAAAGACTTAAATATAAAATAACTAAAAGATATAATTATAAATAATTAAACAATATAAGAAGTAATAAATAATTCAATTACATAAAATAAAATAAAATAATAATAAATAATGTAATTTAAATATATATATATATATATATATATATATATATATATTTATATTTTTATATATATATCTATATTATTATTTATAATTTTATATATGTTTTTTATATAATTTACATATTTATATTAATACAATTATATTAATAGAAATGAAGAAAATATAATTGAAGAAGACTTAACTTAAATAAATGAAATTTTTGATTTCTAATTATCTAAATAAAATAGTTTAACAAGTTTAAAAAATTCTTTAGAATAATATTCTACTTAGTTTAAAAATTAATATTAATAATAATAATACTCTTTTCTCTTTTTCTAATAATAATAATCTGCTTAAAAATAATAGTACAATTGATATTAGTGCTTTATCAAGTTTAAATTATAGATCTAATTAAACTAGTATTTTATACGATCTTTATTTAAAAGAGTATGATAATATGAACAGAAAATCTACTGAAATTTCAAATCAATGATATTATATTTAAAAATAAAATAAAATATATGTTTATACTCTAAAAAAAATATATATATAAATTATTATAATTAAATTATTAATATTTTTTTTAATTATAAAAATAATATAAGCTTAAATAATATTATAATATAATACCCAGAAAAATTTTTATTCTAAATAAGTTTAAAAGAAGTTATTTATGGTATTTCTAAAAAATAAGTAAATTAAAATTAATAGAATTATTATAAAATATTATATATGTATAAATTTTATAAGGTTTAATTTATTCAAAATTTAATATTTTAATTTAAATAT